TGATCCCAATATGTATGATAGAATCGAAGTCATTCTTGAATGATCAATTCAAGATTTTTGACTCTTGAATGTATATATTTTTTGATTTAAGAAATTAAGTTAAGAGCATCAAACTATTCAAACTCTTCATTATAATGGGAGCATGTTGGTTTTTATCTTATGCAATACTTCTTTTATATATTAATAATAAGCCCCCACAATGAGAAAAAGTCCAGCCATAGGCATGTTTAGGCTTGTGACCAACAAGAATTATTGGAGTAAAGTTTCAAGAAAAAAGAATGCAAATGAAGCATCCAGCCAACACAATCCCTTGTATTATGATTATTATTATTATACAATAATATTAAAAACTCGGCATGAAAAAAAAAATTATATGCATTAGACTTTTGAAGTGAGTTTGATCGTACAAATATAAGAACGATAAATTTTTTGTCTCTTAACAAAAAAAGGGTTTTTATTAAAATAAAATTATTCTAACATACACCCACCATTAGGTGATTATGTTCATGTTCTCTATAGTACCCAACGGAAAATCATATCATCATTCACACTAGCTAACAATTATTAGGCAATTTGCACTAAAAGTCATATAGTAAAACATGTTATGATGTGAGGATTATGGCATTTAAAGTTTCTATTAATAGTCTTTCTTAACAAAACGACATCGATATATTAGACTTTTCGTACACATATATAACAAATCTTTCTTAAATTTTTTTTTAAAAAGTGCACACACTTACGTTAAATCTATCAACCTCGAATTTTGATCTTTTCTGAAGAAAAGTGAGGAGATTTGTGGAACTATTTTCTTTTTGGAGAGCTCGAGGTCAATATGCTTCCAAATGGATGCTTGTTTCTTTTTCTGTTTTTCTACATTCTTTTGTTTTCGTTTTTTTATGTAGATGTTTGTGTAGACAATTTTTTATTGCCTGTCTGCTTTTATATAATTTTTGGACTGTCAGACCCGCCCATGAACATTACGGCTGGGGCTCACAAAAATTATATTATAATTTAGTTTTAATTAAGTTATTCAATTTGTTTACATGTAAACCTCCCGTTAAGATTTGATATTCCATCTTAAAAGATTAACCTTATTAAAAAGAGTAGTCCAAACTCTTATAAATTGGTCTATATTTTCATCTTTATTCGATTTGAAATTTTATTCCTTAACATACTTCAACAAGATGGTGGCTCGTTTGAGCAGACCAATCTTAAAATCCGGGTGTTTAATTTTTTTTTTAAATTTTAGTCGGATCAAATTGTTCGTTGGAATTTAACGGGCTTTAAGATCATTTTAAGATTTGAGGTTCCATCTTAAAAGGTCAATTAAGATTTAGGGTTCCATCTTAAAATGTTAACATTGTTAAGAGAAGTAGCCCAAACTGTTATAAATTGGTCTATATTTTCATCTTTATTCGATGTGGTTAGTTATTTCTTTTCTAAATCTCCTATTCTCATTTTATCTCCTCTTGATTTTCTAATAGGGATTTAACAGATGATAAGTTCTTTTTCTGTACTTCTGTTCTTACGTATTCGTAAGGGAGTTAAATGGTGTTCCCATGTTTTAGCTAAGCTAGCATTTTCTCTATTCCAGGAACATGTCTGAGTTGTACAGGGGCGTTTTCACAGGGGCATTACAGGCCCCTCTCATTGTAGCCGAGGCCCCACCTCTATATTAAAAAAAAAATTGTGGCCCACCCCCCGCCAATGTGTGTTGTCTGGTAGGGGCCTGTAAATCAGACCCTTGTACTTGTAGCGAGGCTCATCTTCTTTCTAGTGATGCTCAAGAATGAATTTCTGCTAGCTTGATTTAACAAAAAAAAATTGTTCTATAAAATTCTTATTTTAAACTTTTTTCCAATTGAAATATTATTTGAGGTGATTAAATAGGCTAAAAGTATGATTATTTTATGCGTAATTTTTTTTCCTGATTACGGAATATAAATATGCGTCCGTTCGGGCCCATTATTCAAAATTATAATGAGACGAATGACCCTTTTTTAGAGAATACGTGGTTGATAAGGAGAGAGAATAAAATGAATTATAACCGACCCCGATATACGCAGGCGAACCACTTCAAGTGTGAATGACTCGCTTTTCCCTACATTGAAGACCTGGACCGACCCCATTACACACACACCCTAGTGCAAGAGGTGGTCTGGATGAGATGGTAACGAGATCTTGAACAAATCTCGTGCCATGTGATTAACAAAACAACTAACCACCGCCGTCCTATTTGGTCAAGTCTAAAGTTCAAATTAGGTCTTATGGATACAAAAGTGGTCTTAGCATTTAAGGCTATAATTGATTGATGTACATGACAAGATAGGGCAGTCGTTTGGATAAGGCCACGCACACTATCATCCAGCGGACCCCATTCATTTTGTACAAATATAAAAGCTCACACTCAGTGCCATTCAAAGGTAATGCAAGTTTAGACTCTCAAAGTTATATTCTTGCTCCACACACATTTTACTCTTCCACCCCAAAGACGACCCCCATTTTACTTTGAAGGCTCACGTTAAAAGCTCTCTCACACTCATAATTACTCATCCAACTAACTTGACCTTCAGAGTATGTGCGGCCAACTCCATCCCTTCTGGAGAAGGCCACGTGTGATTTACTGTTTGTCCAAGTGTGCAGGAATCCAGCTTGCATGGACGTGAGAAGTTTTGAAATTTGTTGGCCACATAATTGGTACGTTCTTTGGGGTCAATAGATTCCAATATTGGGAAGCAAGCAACTGAACTTAGTGAGGGTGTCAACCCTTGGATCACTAGAAGATAGGTAGATGAAACCAAAGAAACCATGTAACACAATTATGAACAAAGTAGTCACAATGTTCTTCAAAAGGGAGTGAAAGATTGAATTAACATATAGATAAATAGCCCTAATGTCGTCTATTAAAATGGTATGTCATTGGGGACAACTGTATCCCAAGTTTATGGAGGAAGTATTTAATCTAAAAGATCTCAGTTGAGCACGAAGACAATGGATGGTAGTCAGCCTTAGTGGAGGATTGGACAATCTGTTTCTTGGAACACCAAGAGATGTTAGTGCCACCAAGATAGACAATGTATCCTGAAGTGAATCTACTACCACCGAGATTTCCAGTCCAATTAGCATCAGTGAATGTTAGACAGATTGGAGCGTTTTTGAAATACCATGATGGATAGTTTGTTTGAGGTAGCAAAGGATATGTTATACACAAAATAAATAACAAATAGTGAATGACTATGAACAATTACATTTTGAATATTATGTGAATGTAAAAAAAGGACAACCAACTGTGGTGGCGACGCTCTTTGCGGTACTGGAAGCTTCTGATAAGGAATCCGGAGTTTTGTATAAAGCTGAGGAATGCAAGTTCTGTGGTCAATCTTCTCAAACAACAAAAGGTTTGTGATATACATGAAAGAAAGATAAGCAGGTGCGAAACTATCTGATCAACAAGATTTTGCAAGCGCGTGGTATTGTACTCAAGTAATAAAGAATGAGTAAAGTATCATTCCCACGAGAACTAAGTACTTAATTTAATTTCCAATTGATGCCAAATTTAAATTGAATAGCAAGATTAGTTTATGAATGAGTTTTATATTAACAATCTAATATTATACTATAAAACATCTGGATAGATGCTTCTACAGGCAGACCCCATTGACAAAACCAGGCATGATGAGGCAATGGCAAGATCTTAATGGACCCCGCACGACATGAGTTGACAAGACAACTCACTGCCACTGCCGTCGCCACCATCCTGTTTGGTCAAGTCTAAAGAACATGCTAGGCTTTATGGACACAAAAAGGGTGATAGCATTTAATGCAATGATTGATTGATGTACAAGAAAGGGAAGTCATTTGGATGAGGCCTCATGCGCTACCATCCAAGTGACTCCATTCATTTGGTTCAAGTATAAAAGCTCACACTTAATGCCATACAAAGGCAATGTAAGTTTAGACTATGAAAGTTATATTCTTGCTACACATATTTTAGATTATTGACTCCCAAGCCGACCCCCTTTTATTTATACCTTGTCGAACTTGTTTTCCTTCTTTCGAATGCATAAAATAAGTCACCACACTCATACAACTATTGTGCATATATTTGTAGAGAAAAAACAATATATATAAATCATTCAATAATTCAAAAAATATTTTAATGTCAACAAAGTAAAACNAAAAGCAGTGTATATAAATCATTCAATAAGTCTAAATGCGTTTTAATGTCAACAAAGTAAAACTAGAAATCAAAATATCTCATCACAAGGTTCATCGTTCACCTAGAACATATAAATCTAGCCTAACATGATAGAAGAAAAGAAATAAAAAAAGTTAATAAAGAACGACATCAACAATTTAGATTCTTGAATTGATTCTTCGCGTCGTGAAGTTATTCTCCTTATTTGTGCCTTGATTTCTCTCTCAAACACTTCAAAAGTCTCCTCCCAGGTCTGCCTAGGGTTTGAGGATGGCTTACGAGTTTATATAGTTGCCAAAAGATTAGTTTCCATAAGAGTTGGAACGAAATAAAGAAACTAGAATTTTCACGCTCAGATTGAACCATGCGGCCGCATGGTATATTCCATGCAGACGCATGGAACAAAAAAATTTCACTCCTCTGATTGCCTGATTGCATGTGTACGGCCGCGTGGTAGAAATTACATGGTAGAGTGACTTTTCCACCGGACAGCTTTCAATATTTTGGTTATATCTTTCTCTTCCGATATTTCATTAAGGTGATATAAATCGCATTGGAAGGCTTTCTCAAAGGGCTACAAATAGTCCAGAAATATAAATCTTCAAATTTGAACGTCTTCGATTTCAAAAATGGGTCTCAAACTAAAACTGAAAATTCGAAACATAACTCTTTTGGTTAGAAGTTGATATGTGATAGTACTTCCAGTATATTTCATCCATTTGGCTTCTTTCCTCATCCAGTTGATGCCCAACACTCTCAAATATTCATCATGAGATCGACACAACTTTTTAGTAATTGCACTTGAGTTTTCAAACTTTGATTGTGCTTCATTTTAGTCGTTTTTCGTTTGTTTTTCCAAATTTCCACCATGTTCATCAACATTGTCCTACAAAATATAAATTATATTGAATTAAACTATATTCCACATATTTATTAACAATTATCCATGTTTAGGCCTACAATAAGTGTGTACAAATGCATTTATCAACATCCCCAAACTTGAACTATTGTTTGTCCTCAAACAACTTAACTCCGCATAAAATGTGGTTAGACAACCTACCGTAATCTCAGGATCGGAACTTATTACTAAACCAAATGATCAACTACAACAGTGCATAATCAAATCA